TACACGTAAAGGTCCGTAAAAGCACGTAACAAGATACGTAATATATACGTGTTTTCACGTAATTTGGGTCATATTGGGAAACCACTGTTTTAACTCCATTTGATAGGGTCAAAGGTCCAGAACCCAGCGATCGACATCCTTCCCCGCTCGAGATCCCGGCTCAGTGGAGTCACGCAGTCCAAAACAGCCTTGGACAAAGGATGGCAGGTGTGAGCAGTAGGCCCACCCTCAAATCCAAGCAATGGAGTTGCTCGGAATTGCAAGCGGGGAATGCTGGATTGTTGCGTGTGAAGAAGGAAGGTGATGGGCAGGATGCTATTCAAAAGAAAATGAAGGATTGGGTGGGGTTGAATGCGCCACCAGTGAGCACCATAGATGTTTGTGGCGCTTCCATGCACAACATTTATGTACTAAAGAAACATGTTGTTTGCATATGTTTGATATTTGGGGGGGCCCCTGAGGAGTATGAAGCCAAGATTGCTGCTCTAAAGAAGAAAGCACAAGCCAGTGAATCTTGGTGATTCAGAAGGTATGTTCACCAGGTGTGTTTTGCAACAGTTACGCTGGCCATGTTGCATGCCTTGACAAGCAAACGAGGAACCCGATGATGAAACGCAGCCTGTTTCTTGATCGCACAGTCTTTGCAAACATATGTATGCATGCATGTGTTTGCGCGTGCGTGGTTGCAGTACATATAGTGCGTTGGACTCTGTATTGCGCTAGGCTTCTGAGCTAGAAGTTGAACAATCACGCAAGGCTGCTAGGAAACCGTCAGCAACAGCCACAAAGGCCAAGCCTCCCCGCCCCAGCTCACCAAAGCCAGGGGCCCCATCTGTGAAGGCTTCGCCGGCTTCACCACCAGCCCCCAAGCCAAAGGCTTCACCACCAGCCCCCAAACCAGCCCCCAAACCCTTGGCCAAATCAAAGGCCAAGGCCGCCGCCAAATCCAAGGCAAAAGCGCCACCACCACCAGCACCAACCGAGAGCGGTAAACATTTGATCACCCCGCTTGCCACGCCAGATGCCCAGGTAAAGAAGCGCATCAAAGGCAAGACTCAAGATGTTTCGTTGGAGGCTTTGGAGGCCTTGAAGCACGCAAAAAAACAAAATGGAACAAGAGTTGGAATCAGTGAAGAAGCAATTGATGTTTGAGCAAAGCAAGAACAAAACTAGCAACAGCACAACAGATCAGGAACCGCGTAGAAGACGCTTGCGGAGGGCAACAACACGTGAATGCCAACTTGAGGAGCCTGAAGAGGCACAGGAGGAGGAGGAACAGGAAGAGGAACCCGAGGAGGATGAGGATGATGAGGAGCAGGAGGAGCCGGAGGAGGAAGCTGATGTAAATAATGGCGATGATGATGATGATGATGCTGACACAGAAATGTATGATTGTCAAAGTGATGAGGAGCAGGATGAGGAGCATGAGGAGGACAATGATGATGACGATGAATGTGATGATGAATGTGATGATGAAGAGGAGCCACAGCCAAAGGCCAGAGGAAAGGGCCCAAACAAACCAACCAAGCCTGGTCGGGGTGGATTCATCGCGCGTTCGAAGCCTGGCAAGATGACAGAAGCTGCCAAGAGGCAGAGGCTTCGCCGCTTGTGTGAGACAAAGCCATCTGGCAAATGCCATGTCCCTCCTGAAGTCCATGAGACTTGGAAAAAACGGGACTGACGCAGAGAGGGACCAACTTCTCGCTTTGCTTGAGAAATCTCAGTGGAAGAAGGTGGGGAAACAGTTTGTCCTACTTGCGCATGGGATAATTAAAAACACCTTGACGTTGCATACCTCGCAATAGGAAGGGTTCCTGAACTTGGTGATCAAGATCAAGGAAAAATCGCACAAGAAGGTCAAGAAGGTCAAGCGTGGGTGGTTTACCCAAGAAGGCATGAGAAAGAAACTGCTTTGGAGCCCGCTTCTATGTTGGCACTTAATGCATGCGCATTACATATGTGCGATGTGCATGTGCTGTTTTCACATGAAGATCGTGTCATACTTTCCTATGTGCTCAGGGCATACATCAAGTCAGTGGTCAAGTTTTGCCAGAAAGCCGGGCGGGAACACCTGTGCAAGAACCCTGGTTCCACATGCTGATGAAAAGCTTTCATTTTGGAGTCTGTTATGCTTTCATTCACCTCTATATATGTCCCTGTGTGCAAGCTACAACACATACATCCTAAGGAAAGACAAGTACAACAAGAGCCTTGAGAAGTTTCATGTTGAGTATGAAGAGGAAGATGAGAGTTGCGATGAAGATTTGGAACTTGAAAGAAAAGAACATCACACGGTCAGAGCCCTGTTTCCATCCCCTCTTGGTTCGTGGCATCGCTGCTGCCGCCCAGGCCAACAAGTCCAAGCCCTTGAAGTTGGAATTCCTGGGCAAGGCACCCGAATTGCCCGAGGCGTGTTCTTCCGATGATGATGACAATAAGAAAGCCACGCAGTCCAATGGGCCCCGGAAGGACCACACTCCAAAACACAAACTTTGAATTTGTTCAATTTAACTTGAGAAGTCTTTCACTGTGATGAACTCTTTTGTTTAAAACGGCAGGAATACCAGAACCTGAAGAAGTTTGGCGACTCTCTTCTTTCTAGGGCTAGCAAGCTCTCTGATCTGATTTCCGAATTGGAAGCGGGTCTGGAGAAGAAGCCAGATTTTTCAGGAAAAGACAGGGTCCACAAGTCTTGCCCTCATCACATTTGTTCTGTAAACGACTCAATGTTCGAGATCCACGGGTCTCACTGCCCTCCTGCCTAGGTCATTGAAGTCTCTTGAAAAGTCCGTTGAGCTCCTGCAAACTGAATACGAGTCTGTTCAAGAGACCGTCACCACATGCAAGCCCTTGCTGAAGAAGAATCTCCCAGAAAAGGATGCCACAGAGTGGTGACCTTATGCCGGGTTGTTTTCGACTAATATGTTAACTGGGGAAACCACCGTCGCTCAGGCTTGTGAACCAAGCTGAATCCCAAATCCAGAAGTCGACCTCACAGTGCCTAGATTGCACATGTGGAATGGGACCACTGTACCACTGTTTTGACATCAAATCCCATGTTGCATCCACCAAGGTGTGCAAAAGTCACCACTGCTGAGTCGATGGGAAAGCTTCTAGGCTGCAAGGATGTGCAATAGTTGCACGTTTTTATTGTCTAGAATTGTCTAGCCTACAAGTCATATTGTATTAAATTTATATACCTGTTGCTGCATTGGGCCGTGCGGTACCCAACACCTCCGATCTCAGGAATCTTCTGAAGGCGCTGAGCAAGGAGTAGATCTTTCGAGATTGTCAGGACTGTGTGAGTCCATGAGTGGCCGGGTAGCCGGGTGTGATGTGACAGCTGAACGTTTGCTGCCATCCAGTACTGCCTCTCTGGCATTTGGGGTGTGGGTTTGGTCAAGTGATTTGGAACACTTGATTTGAACATGTGCGCAGCGCATGTCTTGAGCTTGACCAACGTTTGTGCAACACGACTGTGCAAAAAGAACAAGTGAAATATCGAAGTTCTACAAGTTGAGGATTTCTCACTATCGCCCATTGCAGGGCTATTTTATTAACGTGGTCCCAACCTAGCATGCATGCCAGGCGAGCGGAACGTTGACCCCTCCGACCAGAACCGACAAGTCCTTCAGAACTATGCCAAGCTCATCGCCAATGGAGCCGTGGCCCCAAAGTCCTGCCACGCAGCTTCTGTGGGAAAGCGCTGAAGTTGAACCTGTGCCTCAATGTTTAGGTTCTGTTGCTACCTACATCCAAGTATTTTCAGTGATAGGTTTATGCAAGGCATGCATGAACACGCATGACATGTGCTCATTAATGTGCACAACACATCGACATACTTCGACTCATGCGTTCTTATCGTGAACAACCGTCCACCCCTTTACTTGCTCGTGGTGCTCCGATGGACACGGATGATGCTGAGAAGGAGCTGCTGGACCTGCTCACCTATGAGTGCCCCTACACAAAGAAGCGGCGTGTTGCTGGGAGGGGGGAGGCTTTGGAAACCCCGTGCCCTGAAAGCAATTACGTTCAACCATCGCCGCATTGCATTATCATATGGCACTATAGTAGTTTATTGCATTCTATATCGCCTATGAGTGCTGGACCTGCTCAAATGAGGTCCGTGGTTACCGCTTCACTTGGAGCACCAACTGCAGTACCAGCACCTGCCTGCTCAATTACCGATGACCAAGAAAACATGTACCTGGACTACTTTGACCGTGGCCATCAGTTCCCATCCTCCTCTCCTCTTGAGGTGATGCCAAAGACCGACATCGCAGTGCCTCAGAGCAGGTCTCCAAATCCAGCTTTGCTCTCTGAGATGGGGAATTTGTTCAATGCTGATGATTTTGATTGGAAATTAGCTGAGCCCAATGGGTTGTTCTTGAAAGCTTTGAATGCACGCAGCTGCAAGAAAATCACAGCTGGGAAGATTTTGCTACATGCAAGAACACGTTTGACAGCCCTCAGGGAGCAAATTGGAATCCGTTTGTGCATCTTCAAGGTGGGTGTGACCAGCAACCCCCCACAACGGTTTTCGTGCTATGTTGAGAAAGGATTTACAGCTATGTGGGTTTTGTGTGTATCACAAAGTATCGACGAAGTACATATGTTGGAGGCTGCTTTAATCAGTGAATATCACAAGCATGTGGGGTGCAGAAATCGGGCTGACTCGGGTGGCGAGGGAGCGTTGAACCGGGGGCAACCTCCTTTGCCGCCCTACTTTGTTTATGTTGTTGCGGGGCGCGCTGATCAAGGGCGCTGGCTGGGGTGAAACCCTTTGTTTTGATCAGCAGTCATGCGTGGTGGTTTGAAAAAAGTGATGGGTTTGTGTTTGAGTTTGTTTCTGCTTGCAAATGTCTGTGCATGAGCTGCCCATCTTACCCTTTGAGATACCCTTTAATCATCCCTAAGGTTTACGATCATGGTCATACCATCTTGGCGTGCCGAGGCCCCGTGTTCACACGTGGTCGAGCTGGCGAAAGCCGCTGTGAGAGGGCACACTGGTGTGTCTAGTGCAGAGCAAGACTTTGCCCGAGTGAGCCTGCAAGATGCAGAACGTGGTGCTCACCATGTTTTTGCAAAGTATGGATATACAGCTCCTGTTAAGGTTGAGTACCTCAATTTGGGCAGTAGGCAACTGAGCCAGTTCCCTGTCATCAGGCCAAGTGCCTGGGTGCAGTTTCTTTTGGAGAAAGACAAACTGCCCAAGTGCCTTTGTGGTGTTGGCGACTTTGGTACCATGGAAGAGACTTTGGAAGTCTTTTGGGAGAGATACCAGGTGTTGTTTCCTGCTCATGAAATCTTTTCCATGGCCCAGCAGGGAAAGCTTCTCCTCCGGCGGACCATTCCAATTTTTAGCCATACGGATGAAGGCAGAAGTGTAAAACACTCTGCCTTTTTCATCTTGTCCTTTCATGGAGCGCTTGGGCGAGGGACGAAGAAGTTTGCGGCCAAGAACAAGCATGAGGCACCAATGCACAGAGCTGAAATGGGATTAAACTTCCTGGGATCGACGTGGACTACACAGTTCATGGTTGTGGGGATGCTGAGATCATTGATCCCCCCCAAGTAGCGATGCTTTCCAAGCAGTGATTGCAGATTTCGCTCGTGATCTCAGTCAACTGGCAAATCAGGGCTTGCAGTGCCCGGATGGTGGCCATGTGTGGGTCATGCATATCGCCACGAAGGGAGACCTTCCAGCCCTTACAAAGTTGTCAGGAGCAAAGCGATCCTTCTCTCGAGTGCCCAGGGCTGCTCAGTCCAGGAAGCCATGTGATGGCGTATGTCACATATGCGAAGCGGGTGTTGAACTTCCAGTGGCTCTTCCTTTCGAAGATGTCAGCAGGGTACCATGCTGGTTGCCCACAGTGAATTCAGTCAGCTGGGACAACCAGCCCCCACTGCTGAAGGATTTGCCTCTTGTCCCAGGCATGGAACCGAGCTTTTTCCAGGTGGACATCTGGCACACTGTAGCGTTGGGCATTGGAAAGCACTGGATTGCGAGCTCGTTGGTGTGCTTGATTGAGAGGCTCCCAGGTGTGATCCCCAGCATTGATGACTCGAGGTCTGTTGATGCAAAGCTGGCATGGATGACTGCGGATTTCCAGCGGTTTTGCCGGAGCAAAAGGATCTCTCCACACACTACAGAGATCTCTCGAACCAGCCTCTCGTTTCCAGCTTCCACCTCATGGCCTTGTGGAATGTGGTCCAAAGCAAGCATGACTGCAAATTTCATGCAATATCTGGAGGACCTTTGTGAGCAGTTTGTTTCTGGTCAGACCCAAGACCAGTTGCTTTTGGATGTCGACACAGGGCTGGGCTCAGAATGCTTTCTGGGTGTATTTTTGTTGTAAAGAACTTTAAAGAACCCATGTCATTATTTTGTTGCAAACATCGACGCTTCTGACGTTAAACTCAGGCGCGTGGAACGTGGATGATCAACACGGCCTTCGCCTTCATGTACAACCACGGGTTTTGGCTCCGGAGTGCTGATGGTGTGAAGTTGGCCAAGTGGCTACTTGTCTTCTTGCAGTGCTACGACTCTTGCGCGAAGATTGCTCTCTCTGAGGCAACTCCCCGGTTCTCAATCATGCCAAAGAACCACATGCTCATGCACAGTATCTTGCCTCTTTTTGATCAGGCGTCCAAAGGACGCTGGGTCATATCTCCTTTAGCTTACTCGGTTCAGGTCCAGGAGGATTTTATAGGGCGGCCGTCTCGACTTAGCAGGCGGACATCACCGAGATCGATGCATCTCAATGTGGTGAATCGAATGTTGCTGATGGTTCAGAGAGCCCTTGAGGACGGGGAGCGAGACCACCGAGGGGTGAGGTGGAGCATGTAGAGCTTTCCTAGTGCAGCCTAACGGTGTAAAAATGTGTGTATTTTGTTTTAGGTGTTCACACTTGATATGTTATGCACTTGTGGAGGTCTCTAGTTCTCAGGCTCTCAGGCACCGGCATGCTGCGCAGGGGTGGTGCCAGCCGGATCGCTGAGGTAGGTCAAAACCGGAGATGGCAGCGCTGCTTTGGCTGGAAGGGGACTTGGGATCACACCTTTAAAGGACATTAAAGGACCAGTTTTGGGGTATGTTAATGTTGATTTCTTTGGATTCTTCGCATGTCAACACATTCATATCATTGAAATATATTGAAATATATTGAAATACTTGGTTCTCCAAGGGTCACAAAATCACCCCAAAACCAAAAGGTACGTAATTTTCATAAAGGTACGTAATTTCAAGAAAGGAACGTAATCTGGATCAAAAGTGCGTCCTGACAAAAAAAAGCAAGGACGAGGTGGCTGCAGGTAGTTTTAAACTAGTGTATATATATATAATTATAGTATATGTACATGTCTTATGTAATATATGTATATATATATATATATTTGTAATAGCAATATATATATATGTGTGTCTATTGTACATATCATTCAACATACTATATGAGTCAACCATCGACCTGAGCACCTTAATTCAGTGTGTCCATATCTGCCGGAAGTTTGCCCCAACCAGGCAGAGTGTGCAATCCTCCGTGGCGAAGGCCTTGAGTCAACAACTTGGTGCCGGAAAGGCTTTGCCCTACCGTGCCTTGCTCATAGATTGAGATGGCCTTTTACATCCTTTTTACCCCAGACGGGCTCCGAATGCCCCATATCCTCAGGTTCGGTGCTGTTCGACCCCTAGCACCTATCATAAGCATCTTCTCAACAGGTAGGCCAGCAGCCTAGGATACTATTGGTTGGTTGATCAGTAGAGGGGGAATAACCTGATCCGTCTTTTTCACCAAGTGGACCAGCTCGCTGGCCCTTCGAATATACAGAGACCCGGTCCGTCGGGTGGTCCTGGCTGTTTTTGTTGATTCGCTCGCTTCTTTTTGCTGCTCACAGTCAACCCAAATAAAACGTCTTCAGCAATGAGTCGGAGTGCTCATCAAGTATAGAAGGACTGTCACGCAAGTATGCGTGAGTCAAGACTGACTTGAAAGTCTTTTGGGGGGGAATTTTGACCTCTTCGTGTTCCTTAGCCAAACCATTTGGCCGACCCAACTTCACCAACTCAACTCTGACGGCTCTTCGTTTGTGACCGAAGAGCCGTCGCTCCAGCAGTCGCTCCTTCCCGCCATCGTCCGCCTGGATGCCCGGGTTGATCAACACGACCAGCGATCTAAGAGACCTGGTTGATCAACTCTGGTTGAGGCCTCATAACTCGCACCACGGGCCCTTGAACACACCTGAAAACGATCGACATGAACCACAGCATGTCCCACCCCGACCTGCGTTGAAGAACCTCGTCCGCGACCGACCCCTCACCGAGCTTGGATTTTGGGCTCTACGCTGCCGGTGCTTTGGAGCTCCATGGACCTCGTCGCCAGCGTGGCGCGCGCCGTGCCTCGGGCGCAGCGTGGCGCAGCGATCGCGCGCCGTGGTCGGTCTTGGCGCGGTGGACGGGTCGCGTCCGGTGGGAGCCTGGGGACAGCCAAAGCTTTATGCGGAATGGACACCCTCCGTGAGGACGGGGGATGCAGGTCCGGCTTGTGGGTGGGTGAGAATGAAAGATGCAAGAAAGGGTACCAAGTCTGGACTTGGTGTTTCTGCAGACCCAACGGACTGAGAAGCAGTGCTTCTTCCTGCCATTGTGTGCATGATTTGTCCTTTTTCTCAGGAAGAAGAGCGGCACCTTGCTCCCTTTCTCACCCTCAGGCAGGGCTTTCACAAAGCGCACGCGAGAGGAGCTTGCTTTCACGTTCAGGCAGTGATCAAGTAAGTTCACTGAAGAGTTTGTTTTTCTTTTTTTCGGCTTGACCTCAATCAGAGACCCATGGAGTCAGATCGTGGAACATGCATGGCATGCGTTTTGTTTTTGTTTTTTTCGGCATTCGAGCTGCAAACTGCCAGTGTGTGCCAAGGGAGCGACCGGACCGAACCCGACATGGCGCCCCCATTCTGAAGGCCTTCAAGCATCACACCCAGTTGCCTCCCGTAAGTGTTCCACACACCGTTCCCAGTTGCCCAGTAGTGTATTTAATACATGTTCAATGTTCATTCTCTTGAATCACCATGGCAATATCTACAAAACCACCCCAAAATCACCCCAATGTAGGTAAATATACCAGTCCCATGGAGTGTCCATATGTTGTTGGACCTCCCCACCCATTTTGCCGATGGATTCCTTCCAAACATCGCCCGAAACCGCCCTGACGTTCCTCGTCCTATCGTCCATCCGCAGCGTCCAGGTGTTTGGTGATTTGACTGGGCGGCCTCCCCTTGTGCTTCACCTTAGTCATTGCGTTGGCGCAATACTTTGACCACGCCAACCAGGCAGAGGAGTTTCAGTAAACTGCAGAGTGTTGGTTCAGGTTGGTTCAGCTGGGAGCTCCAGGTCTTTTTTCAGAGATTTGTTTTTTACCCTAGGGCTCCTGGGCCTACATTTGTTTTGTCCAGATGGTTATAGTGTGTGCCACCGGGGTCAAATACCACCGAACCTGAGGATATGGGCCAGGAGCCCTAGGGAAGATCAGAATAGCTATCGTCGAGTGACGGGAGAGGAGAACCAATGAACGATGATATGATTGAGTATGTTCGATATGGACATCATCTTACCCAGTGCCCCCCCCGTTTCCGAACCTCGTCCCCACTGCTTCGCTCTCTGAAGCGAAAAAACGGAACAGACGAGGACTCGGTTCCACCCGCTGAGACACGTACACATCGTCCAAAGGAGGGATGGTATCAGGGATGGTTCATTTCTTTCACCTGAGCAATAGCCAAAAACCTCCCCTTGACATTCATCTATGTCATATTCAATCTTGGCTGAAGCTCACCTTTCAAGTCCGACTGGTTGAGTTTGCCGTGCTGGAAGAACAAGTTGTATACCCGACGCTCAAAACAATCTACATGTATATATGTAAACTCCTGTATACAGGAAACAATGTATGCTCCTGATATAAATGTGCTCATGTCGATTGTTGTTCCTGGAGTTTGCTGCGAAGAATATGAGTTTCGCGCGTGAATTCATGCGCTTTCTGTCAAGGATTTGAGTGCATTGCTCACATGACATGAAATGTTCGATGCATGAATTCCTTTGGGGATGGAAATGGTCCGCACACTCACTTTGGTGAGAAAAACACCAGAATTGGTGAAAAGGACTCGAAAAAAGGACTCGAAAAGGTCTCTAGAACGCAGATCTGTTCAGCTTGAACTCAACACATTGCGTTGTTTGACCTGCTTTGCAAAGGCACCCTCGGTTGGTTCGAAGGACCTTCTCCCCTCGTGGTGAGTGGCCCCTACAAATAACTCAACATCCTTTGGGTTAGACGTGCTTAGTAAGTGAATGATGTTTTCATCAAGTTTCTACTTTAGCTCGATAGATAGTAAGTCTTTAAGTGCATTCCAGTTTAGTTTCTAGTTGTAATATAGATCGCTATCACGCTATCCATGCTTGTCTCCAGTTAATCCTAATCCCAGTTTCAACACAGTCTCCGGATGTTGCCATCTTCGCACACCAGAAAGCCCATATGGCCCATAGTCTCAAGTAGGAGCAGAGCACCCCCCCACTCCGAAGACGCAGTCTGAAGAAAGCCCAGTCCAGCCACCAATCCCACAGGGCGGGTTCAACGGTTTGGGGTCGATGGGCTGGGTGGCTGGGCGGCTGGGTCAGGCATGGATGGAGTGTTTCAAGAATGGCTTGATACTCGGAGCTTTAGCGTCTTGGGCAAACACCAGGCATTGCCTGATGAAGCATGCTGCATGGGCGACGACGTGGCACCAAACCTTTGCAGAAAATTATGTCCAAATAGTGGGAAACATGACACACCGTATGATTTTGTGTATTAAATATATGCAGAGTTCTTCTATCGATTTTGTTTGTCGACACATCAACAGATTCCAGCACTCAAGAAAACCATCGGGTCGGTCGACACATTAAATATATTTCAGAACTCAAGAAAACCGTCAAGCAGCAACCACATATGCAACTCGAGGGAAACATGTTTGATTGTGACAGTGGTCTCCCAAACGCTTCATTCATTTTTGAACCTATCAGTCTTATAGGTTGTATAGTTTCTACATGGATTTGTCATACTCGAGGAGAGACCCAAGGAACTCCTGAGGATAGAGAGGGGACAACACCCTGTTTTTGTATGTCACCTTTGAATGAATTACGGCTCCACAAAGAACTGGTGTGGAAAGTCACCAAAAGTTCATGTGAAAGTCGCGCACGTTCCTGTGGACGATTCCCTTCACATGCTTTGCTCCATGGCAACCCCTCGGTTGTTGGGCTTGTTGGTGGCATTTCAGCAGTCAGTTCCTGTTTGATTGACAAGCTCACCGAAGGCCCATGTCTCTTCTCACCTTCAAGCATGTTGCCCTTGAAAGACCACTGCGCCCAGCAGTCTCTCTTGGGTTTGGCATATGTTTTCGTGTGTGTGTTTTTGTGGTGTTCGAACGCCGTAGCGAAGATGACTGAAGGAGGCGAAGTAACTTGTAGCTGCAAAGAATCACTTTGAAGAGCCACTTAAGTCTAAGTAGGTTGGGTTAGTTCAATCGCTTCAAACTCTAGTAACTTGTCATCTTTCAAACTCCAACGGTCAAACTGCCCTTTGTCAACGGCCCCCTGCGCGTTTCGTTCGTTCGTTGCTTTTGTCGAAAAGCCCAATCGGTTTGCGGTGAAGACCAAGGTGCCACCATTGGCATTCCTGCGCATGTCCTTCACTTACCTGGACGACGTCATCGCGGCTCCTGGGCGGTACCAGCCAAGCCTTTATGTTTTGGGCAGACCATGAACACTCAAGAGGAACATAGAGGAACTGGGCAGGGAAACATCATGACATGTATTGAAATCATGTA